TTATTTATGATTCTATCTAAATAAATTAAAAACGTCAAAAAGAGGTAATTGGTAACATCAGTTTATTGGCTATTTTGCAAAGCCAAAACTGCAATGAATAGAAAGAGGAGCTGAGGAATCAGTAGGTCTAGATTAAGTGAATGTTCTACTTCATTTTTGTTTTAGTCAAAAAAGTTAATTTCACTAAATTTATTTTAAATCCATTAAGTGGAGGGTTTGATTCCTTCCATCACCTTTATCTCAACTTTTTTTTTTTTGGATTTACTTGCATCCTTCTCCATTAAACAAACCAAACCCAAATATATTGTATTTTATTAAATAATTATGACCAGACAAATGTGGTCGACTAAAAGTTAATTTTACGTGAAACAATCTATGTCATTTTTTGAACTCTCTAGAAGAATTTATTGTTCGTTAACATGTAAATCGATATTCAATCAATCCTTAAAATTTGTTATATCATTACCTTGTAGAGGATAAAAGACAAAATCAATTCTACGTATGATGTATTGGAAACCCACATTTCAAAATCAACTTGCATATTAAGTAAAGGCAAAACAAACATGATTGATTAGTCTTTATTCCACCACTATATTACTAGCTTTATAAATTCTTGGAATTAATATCATCTTTAGTGCCCTAAAAACAAAGAAATAAAGCTATTTTTCTCTAGAGGTAAAGAAAACAATGTCATTTCCTAAGAAGAGCATAAAAGAAAACTACAACATGAAGTCATTTTCTAATAATAAAGAGGGCCCAAATTCTTCTTTCTTCTCACCCAATTGGACCCTTCCTCAATCCCCTCTCCTCTCCTCTCTTTAAATTCCGCTAATACCCTTCTCACTTTCACTCTTATATTTCATTAAAACCTTTTTTATATTTCCTCTACCTCAAAGTTTGAGAGAAAGAAAGAAAGAGAGAGAGAGAATGGTGGGTTCTTGAAGCTTCTCACATTATTTTCTTCATCGTTCAAGAAATCAATATATGATTTGATGATGTTTCCTTTTATAGAAATATATGTCTCTTTCTCAAAGTCTTGTTTTGTCTTTTTTGTTCTTTGCCATGTACTTACAGGAAGTGGAAGAAGAGGTCTCAAGATGGGAAGGCTACGCCGATTGGAGAAACAGAGCCGCCGTGAAAGGCCGTCACGGTGGCATGCTCGCCGCCTCGTTCGTCTTAGGTCAGTTAAAATTCCAAATTTACCCCTCGATTCTCTTATGCATCTTTTTCTTTATCAACCACACATTTATATATATTAAAAACGATTCTCTAATGGATCATTGTGACTGATTTATATATACTTTTCTTGTGAAGTGGTGGAGATATTAGAGAATCTAGCGTATTTGGCGAATGCGAGTAATCTCGTGCTATACCTAAGAGAGTACATGCACATGTCTCCATCGAAATCGGCAAATGACGTCACCAATTTCATGGGCACAGCTTTTCTCCTAGCTCTCCTCGGTGGTTTCCTCTCCGACGCTTTCTTCTCCACTTTTCAAATCTTCCTCATCTCAGCCTCCATCGAGTTTTTGGTAAACATCTCTTACTTAATTATTCTTATATTCACTTAACTCTTTTACATTTTGCTAATCCTTATAATTTCTAAACTCAACAATAAACAACAAATCAAACTAGCTCCACTTATAAAAATATTCAGAAACTTTCTTATCCATTAGATTGCTTTAATTAGTTTTGTTTTCTCTATCGCTTAAGTTTTAAGTTATTAGCGTTGACCTTTTTTTAATGGCTAGCCACAACAATCATAAATCCGTTCACATTAAAATAGATCCCACATGTATATCTATAAAAATATAGCATAAAAGAAAATTATCACATATGAAAATATGGTTGTAGCAAAAAATCCAACGAACCATGCGTGCATTAGGATGCTGATAAAAAGGACAAAAGCAAAGAGAGGAGCGTGACTTTGATACGGTACCGTATCTATACGCAATGCTTTGTTTTGATCCTAACACGACACATACGTGATAATTAACATCTATAAAAATCCGTATGTTAAGGTCGGGACCCAAACGTATTTTTATTAGTTCTGTCACTGTCTCAGGGTTAAAAAAGGAAAATTTTAAAACTCTTTCTTGGGTTTCAGTAACACAACGACCTTTTTAATTTTTTTTGTTATCTTGTCTTTACGTTTGATAGGGTATGAAACTATAATGTCCACTTATATAACATCTGCCACTCGTACCCTCGTGACTCTACCACTTAATGTTACAAAAGACAAAACAAACTTGTAGTTCTAAAGTACAGTTGGAGAGCTCTTAATGCTTTGTGGGTAGCGTTTCGCGTTCTTATGCGGACGCAAACGCAAACGCAAACGCTCTTTCTTCTACTTCCCATTGTGGATAGATAGATAAACTATCATAACTTCATTATAAAACTTCTAAGAGATTACAAGAAAAAATATATAGCTGGTTTAGCTTATAATTTCACTATCCAATTACGAGTGTTTTTTTTAGTTTTATATAGATTTTAGTTATTTTACTTGTATGATATGAAAGTATTTATTTTCCATGAGTCATACATTCATCTCGAATCAACATATCAATATATGATTGGATAATATATACTAGTAGAGTCCAAAACTTTAAAACCCTGATGGTACGTCAGTGTAACCGAAGTTATTTCTTCAAGAAAAGGCAGTGGCCAATGAGACGACCACACGAAAATTAGGTTTTGTCCATACCTCATTTAATAACGACGTTTCATCGTTCATAACGGTTTCAATTATTTGTATCACGTCGCTGATCTGACTCTCACGAACCACAAGGGTTAAACTCTCTCACGTGTCCCTGGTCCCATTCCCATACTATTCTTTGCAACTCCCAAGAAAAAACCGTCGTCTATTTATTAATGATTTTAACAAATCCAATTTAGTTAGCCAATATGATTAAAATGTGTTTTGGGAGACGTGCAGGGATTGATCATACTCACAATTCAAGCTCGAACACCGTCTTTAATGCCTCCATCATCGTGTGATGGTCCCACGTGTGAGGAGGTGAGTGGTTCGAAGGCAGCGATGTTCTTCGTGGGATTGTACCTTGTGGCTTTGGGTGTGGGAGGGATTAAAGGTTCATTACCATCTCATGGAGCAGAACAGTTTGATGAGAGTACACCTAAAGGTCGGAAACAAAGGTCAACGTTCTTCAACTACTTCGTTTTTTGTCTTGCTTGTGGAGCACTCGTAGCTGTCACGTTTGTGGTTTGGTTAGAAGACAACAAAGGATGGGAATGGGGATTCGGTGTTTCTACCATTGCTATCTTCGTCTCTATTCTCATCTTTCTCTCTGGATCGAGATTTTATAGGAACAAGATTCCATGTGGAAGTCCTCTCACCACAATCTTGAAGGTTTGTTTTGACCTCTTTCATTATTTGGAGATTGACGTGTGCCCTAAGTTCTGTATATGATTTGTTTGATTCAGGTTCTTCTTGCGGCTTCCGCAAAGTGCTTCTCGAGTGGAAGTTCAAGCAATGCGGTTGCGAGTATGTCCGTGAGTCCCTCTAATCATTGCGTATCAAAGGGGAAAAAAGAAGTTGAATCACAAGGAGAATTGGAAAAGCCGCGTCAAGAAGAAGCCGTGCCTCCTCGGGCACAACTAACTAACAGTTTGAGAATCTTAAATGGAGCTGCGGATGAGAAACCGGTACATAGATTGTTAGAATGCACAGTCCAACAAGTGGAAGACGTGAAGATTGTCCTGAAAATGCTTCCGATATTTGCTTGCACCATCATGCTCAACTGTTGCTTAGCTCAACTCTCTACATTCTCCGTCCAACAAGCTGCTTCTATGAACACAAAGATAGGAAACCTTAAGATTCCTCCAGCTTCCTTACCGATCTTCCCCGTCGTTTTCATCATGATCCTCGCACCTATCTACGACCATCTCATTATCCCATTCGCTAGAAAGGCAACCAAAACAGAAACGGGAGTCACTCATTTACAAAGAATCGGAGTAGGTTTAGTTCTTTCGATATTAGCAATGGCGGTTGCAGCTCTGGTAGAAATCAAACGAAAGGGAGTGGCTAAAGACTCCGGCTTACTTGACTCGAAAGAAAACTTACCCGTCACTTTCCTATGGATCGCGCTTCAATATCTTTTCCTAGGATCAGCTGATCTATTCACACTAGCTGGACTATTAGAGTATTTCTTTACGGAAGCACCTGCCTCTATGAGATCTCTAGCGACATCGCTATCGTGGGCTTCCTTGGCAATGGGGTATTACCTAAGCTCAGTGATCGTATCCATAGTAAACAGCATCACAGGGAGCTCAGGCAATACACCTTGGCTTAGAGGAAAGAGCATAAACCGTTACAAACTAGACTACTTCTATTGGCTAATGTGTGTTCTTAGTGCAGCTAACTTCTTGCACTACCTCTTCTGGGCAATGCGTTACAAGTATAGATCAACAGGTTCGAGAAGCTAAAATTGGGTGGTCAACTTTTGAGTTTGAGGGGTCTTTTTTTTATTAGAGCAGAAAATGTTTTTACTTGAGCGGCTGTTATATAGGAGATGATAAATGGGGGTACGTAGTAATGTTGTGATCAGGTAAATATTCGGGGTTTGGAGTTTTTATCGTTGGACAAGGAATGTACAGCGAATGATATTAACTTGCTTTAGTCTTACTTTTGAACTGTTTCTTGTGGTGTACGAAATTGATGAGTCAAGCTGTTATGTTTTGGTATATTCACAAAGGTTGATTTTGGAAAATCTGTGAGTACTTACCTGTGTTGAGCTAATTTTTCTTCATACGTTGCTTTGATTCTCATCAAGAGAAACTAAAGAAGTGGAATTTCAGAGAAATGTTGTAGTTTTGTCATTTATGGTATGCGAAATTACTGAGAAAACGACGAGTAACGAGGCCCAAAGATTTTTAAAATGGCCTGGAAGATAATAAGGAAACAAAGCCCATTTATTTAGGTTTTGGTCAGTCAAATAGTGGTAAGTAAAGTTATAAAACAATTTTTTTCTGTCTCCTTGATTGAATCTCTATAGAAAAACATCAGATTATTATATGATTGACCTTTATCTTATTTTCTTGTTGGTTTTGGTAAAGTTAGAGTTTAAAATTGAGCACCGTATTGGGAGAACCGGAGATCGACCGAGATCGACGGTCGAGATGATCGTCCAAGAATAAAGAAATCATGAAGAATCTAGAAGATCATGATATTTGTTAATATCTTAGTTTATGATATTTACCATTATCTCTAAATATATTATTTACATTTATATTTATCTTAGATTAGGAAATCTCATCTCTATATAAGAGAATGTAATTTATAAGTTTATTCTTATGAGAATCAATTATAATTCTTTGTAAACACTTTTGTGTTCTTTACTCTCATCAATTTATCACACCGCTAAATATTGAAAAGCACTTAAAATAACTATATAAAAACGATCAAAAATAAATTTTTCTTTTTATTTTTGACACTAAATTAATCTTTAAATTTTTTTTCAAAAAAAAAATCAAGGCTAGATTATTTCTCACAAGGGACTTTTAGGGTTAAAATTCTAAATAAATCCAAAATTATGATAAATTATTAATGCTAAAATAAATAAATAAACAGAAGTGTCTTCACGAAACAAAAAACAGAATTGTCTTCTTTAAACAGAATTGGATAAGTACTAAAATATTTATATTCTCTCAACTAAAATCTCTTTTTAATAGAACTAAAAGATAAATCAAAACGGAATCCCAACAATAAAAGCAAACGATTTTTTACTTTCTTTAAAACTCATAATTCGTTGATTATCAAATTGCTAAGTAATTTCGCAGAAGCTTCCTTTGTAATTTCCACCAACTTTCTCTTTATTTTTCTTCTGCTTTGCTTATAATTGCGTCTTTGCTTTCTCCTATTACCTTTACGCGGCACATAGATTATCCTCTCCTTGTGTGTAATTTCTTTAATTCCTCTGTTCTTCTTCGTAATCTAGTTTTGTTTTGTTACTGTTGCTTTTGTGGATTTCTGTTTCGTTGACCCTTTTGGACTCCATCAATTTTAGGGTTTCATTCTTCTTTTCTGTGGATTTTGATTTCTTCTTCTTCTCTGGTGGGTTTTGGCACTGTTAGGGTTTTGGGTATTTTGTTCAATTCCTTAGGTTTTATGTTTAATAAAGACGAGACCTTTTGATGATGATTGCATAGTTTTAGTTTCTTCTAATATTTTAGAACAGAGTCAATTTTTTAAGGTCATCTTATCGAATCTGAGTCTACTTGTCGTTGAAAAAATGCTTAAAGAAATGATTTTTTTAAAAAATTCATTGACTTTTTGTATTGTTTAGATTCTTGACTTGTTTCTTACTTCTTGTTTTTATCCCATAAACTAGGTTTTGATGATGTTTTCAGTTGTAAAGTTTTGTAATTTGTCATGGTTTTTGAAGTTTTGTTTACATTTGTTTGATTGATTTCAGGAAAAACAAAATGGGTCAAGCTTTGGGTTGTATTCAAGTTGATCAGTCGAATGTAGCAATCAAAGAGACTTTTGGGAAGTTCGACGAAGTTCTTGAGCCGGGTTGTCACTGTTTGCCATGGTGTTTGGGAAGTCAAGTCGCTGGTCACCTTTCCTTACGTGTTCAACAGCTCGATGTTCGCTGCGAGACAAAAACTAAGGTCTCTTGACACTTACTCATGAATCAATGCCTTATTCGTTTTGTGATATTGAAGGTTGTTACAATTTTTGGTTACTTTGTTGTCAAGGATAATGTGTTTGTCACGGTTGTTGCTTCCATTCAATACCGTGCCTTAGCGGAGAGTGCTCAAGATGCTTTTTACAAGCTTAGCAACACAAGGAATCAGATTCAAGCTTATGTCTTTGATGGTTTGTTTCAATATCCTTTCCTTTTTTTTGGCTTCTTGATGTTGTTGTGTTTGCCTTATAATAACATATCCGTCATTGATTTATCTATGAATAGTGATCCGAGCAAGTGTACCTAAGCTGGATCTTGACTCAACCTTTGAGCAAAAGAATGACATTGCAAAAACCGTTGAGACTGAGCTTGAAAAGGTAAACTACTTTCATGCCATCTCGTTGAGGGAAATTTGTGCAGAAAAATAGGATAACAGAGTGTAACTGCTGTTGTGTTTAATAGGCTATGTCGCATTACGGGTATGAGATTGTTCAGACACTGATTGTGGATATCGAGCCTGATGTGCACGTCAAGAGGGCAATGAATGAGATCAATGCTGGTAACTTTCAAGTTTCAACTGTTGATATACACGTTTTCGACTTTTATATGCTGAGATTCTTACGATGTATTGTTCTGTTTCTTGTGGAAACGCAGCTTCTAGAATGAGAGAGGCAGCGAGTGAGAAAGCTGAGGCAGAGAAGATTCTGCAGATCAAGAGAGCTGAGGGAGAAGCTGAATCGAAATACCTTTCAGGTATGGGTATTGCCCGTCAGAGACAAGCCATTGTGGACGGTCTGAGAAACAGCGTGCTCGCCTTCTCTGAGTCTGTTCCAGGAACATCTTCGAAAGACGTGATGGATATGGTTCTGGTTACTCAGTACTTCGACACATTGAAGGAAATTGGTGCTTCTTCGAAGTCAAACTCGGTGTTCATACCGCACGGTCCAGGTGCTGTTAAGGACATTGCTTCACAGATCAGGGATGGTCTTCTTCAGGGTAACTCTGCTGCTGAGTAAAGAGGTCTCAAAGTACAAAGGCTTTTCAGGGTTTAGAGTTGTGTTGTTGCTTCTTAGTTTATCTTTAGAGGTTTGACGTTCTATTTGCGAAGTCTACATGGATTCTTAAATTTCTTATCGCTTCACTGTTCTACTTCTAGGCTTGTAAACTGGATCCACTGTCTTGCTTTGTGGGTTTGTGGATATAGTTTGGGCTTGAAAATATTTGACTTGTTTTGGGTTTTAAATGTGATTTTTGTGTCAAGAAAGTTTTTATTTTTAAACTAAAAAGCTTAATAGAAAACTTAGCCATAATACGATAGTGATTGAAGCGTGTGCTAAAGTGAATTATCCTGATTTTACTGAATAACACCCACATTGGTAACATTTGTATAGAAAACTTAAAACTACGAAACATTTCAATTTAATATATAAAAAAAACAAAAGAAACAATAAAAATAACGTTTTATAAAGAAACAATTAACTTGATAAACAAAAATTAGCTACTTTTTAAATCTCTACGATACCAAATTACTGAGATCTGTGCTTCACAATTTCTAAAACAATCATCTCAACGTTCCAAACTCATCGACGTGGCAGCGAACACGGAAGGATCCAAGCTGACGTGGCGTATAGTTGATTATAACAGGTCCACGCATTATTATTCGAATCTCGATAAAAAGATCTTTCCTAACACCAAACCAAAAGTGATCTCTCTGCCAAATAATATTTTCTTTAAAAAAAAAAAATTTCAACGACTCTAAACCTCTTCTTCAGTAACACTCGGTGCAAAAATATCTTCTTCCTCTTTCTTCTGCTCTCTCTCGCCATGTCCACCGTTCCCATTGAGTCTCTTCTCCACCATTCTCATCTTCGTCAAAACTCAAAAATCTATCGCGGAACTAGAAGCTTCTTCATACCTTGCTCGTTGAATCTCCCTTCTCATTTCACTTCCAACAAACTACTACACTCAATTAGAACAAGCGTCGGTGCTAGCTCGAAACATAGAAGGTCCGTCGCGATTCGTGCTAGCTCTCCCGATACTGCCGTCGTGGAAACCGCTCAATCGGATGATGTCATCTTCAAAGAAAATTTCCCTGTTCAACGAATCGAAAAGGTTTCCTTAATCACATTTAGCGTAATTTGATTGAATATAGTTGTCATGGTGTTGTTAGTTAAATCTAGTAGATTCATTGATTTTGTGTGTGTTTTGGCTGGATTTCATGGTTTTGATTTCGATTTTGGGAATGATAGGCAGAAGGAAAGATATATGTTCGATTAAAGCAAGTGAAGGAGAATAATTGGGAGCTGAGTGTTGGAAGTAGTATTCCTGGAAAATGGATTTTGCATTGGGGAGTTTCATATGTGGGTGATACTGGCAGGTAGAAGTTTCCTCATTTACCTTTTTTTCTGGTGTCCTCATTTACATTAATGGGAAAATTTTATTCCCTTTATGGTCTCTACATTTTCAATTTGATAGTGAATGGGATCAACCTCCGGAAGATATGAGACCTCCTGGTTCAATTGCCATTAAGGTATTACTCTGGAAGTTTTTTTCCCTATTTGGTTTTGGATAGTTGTAACATTTTGTTATGTTTGTGTATCAGGACTATGCTATAGAGACACCGTTGAAGAAGTTATCCGAAGGAGATTCATTTTTTGAAGTTGCTATTAATCTAAATCTGGACAGTTCAGTTGCAGCTCTTAATTTTGTTTTGAAGGTTCTGTTGCTTTGACCCTTTGTAACAGAGTTGGTTGTTGGTTTGCTTTTAGTTGTGCATTTATTTGGGACTGTTTGTGTTCCAGGACGAAGAAACTGGGGCGTGGTATCAGCACAAAGGGAGAGATTTTAAGGTTCCTCTTGTGGACGATGTTCCTGATAATGGAAATTTGATTGGAGCAAAGAAAGGATTTGGTAAATTTCTCGGTTTTTTATGCTAGATATCTACAACCTTTGTCTAGACTATATGTTTTGCATTCTTATACTTAGGCTTTCTTTCACTTTTGTATGTATTAACTATTATTTTTTCAACGATGTATAATGATGGGAAGTTAGTATTACAACAGACTTTATTGAATCTTTATACTGATTGAGACTTGCTTTCTCTTGGATCTCTAGGTGCAATTGGGCAGCTTGCAAACATCCCTCTCGAACAAGATAAGTCCAGTGGAGAAGTTCAAAAAAAGAGCGAGAGCTCATCTGATTCTACGAAAGAAAGAAAAGGTCTTCAAGAGTTTTACGAGGAGATGCCAATAAGTAAACGTGTTGCCGATGATAATTCAGTCAGTGTCACTGCAAGGAAATGCTCTGAAACATCTAAGAACATTGTATCAATTGAAACTGATTTACCGGGTGACGTTACTGTCCACTGGGGAGTTTGCAAAAACGGCAGTAAAAAATGGGAAATTCCATCTGAACCTTACCCTGAAGATACATCTTTGTTCAAGAACAAGGCATTACGCACTCGTTTACAGGTACGTGTAGAAGTAGGCAAGAATCACTTGTGTTGTGTCTCTCTAATTGTATTCTGTGAGATTCAAATTAGTTCTTGGTTAGCACCTGGCGTATTCGCAATTGTCCAAGCAATTTGCAGGTTGTGCAGGCTTGGTTTTTAACTAAGCATTAGAATGGTTAGCAACACAATGCATTCGGTTCTTCTTTTTTTATGCACCCTGTTAGACATTTCCTTCGTACTTTTACCGCCACTATGTCTTTGCTGCTGCTTCCAGACATTTTTTGGGCACCTAGCGATCATTTTCATGTTGGCACCTAAATATTTTGCTTACCTTAAATATTAGAATATTTTCTGTTTCTATCAGTGACATTAGCTAAGTGTTTATGCATATGAACATTCTGCAGCGAAAAGACGATGGAAGTGGATCGTTTGGATTATTCTCTCTCGATGGAAAGCTTGAAGGGTTATGTTTTGTTCTTAAGTTAAATGAAAATACTTGGCTAAATTATAGGGGGGAAGACTTCTATGTCCCTTTCCTTACTTCAAGTAGCTCGGTCGTTGAAACTGAAGCTACTGAAGCTGCCCAAGTGAGTAAACACTCGAAAAAAACAGATAAAGAAGTGTCTGCTAGTGGATTTACTGATGAAATCATCACTGAGATAAGGAACTTGGCAAATGACATTCACTCTCACAAGAATCAGAAGACAAACGTAAAAGAGGTGCATGAAAACATTCTACAAGAAATCGAGAAACTGGCTGCGGAGGCATATAGCATATTTAGAAGCACAACTCCAAGTTTTTCCGAGGAAAGTATTTTAGAAGCAGAGGCTGAAAAGCCTGACATTAAAATCTCCTCAGGAACCGGCTCGGGATTTGAGATATTATGCCAAGGATTCAACTGGGAGTCCAATAAATCTGGGAGATGGTACTTGGAACTTCAAGAAAAAGCCGATGAGTTAGCTTCACTAGGATTCACTGTTCTGTGGTTACCTCCACCGACAGAATCTGTGTCACCTGAAGGGTATATGCCTAAAGACCTGTATAACTTGAATTCCAGGTGAGCTCTACATTTTTATTAGACTGTCTACTGTAGCTTATTTGCTTAAAACTTTTTTATGAATCTTAAAGTAGGAGTCACTAGAGAAAGTGTTAATTTTCTTAGGAGATCAACAATACTTATGCATTTTCATGATGCAGCGGTAGTGTGTATCAAATAAGAAAAAAATACTAGCATGTATCTGAAGTACCTGTTTCCCCCTTCTTTTTTGTTACAAACTTTCAGATATGGAACTATTGATGAGCTGAAAGATACAGTGAAGAAATTTCACAAGGTTGGGATCAAAGTTTTAGGCGATGCTGTTTTGAATCACCGCTGTGCACACTTCAAGAATCAAAATGGTGTATGGAATCTTTTTGGAGGACGTCTAAACTGGGACGATAGGGCAATCGTTGCAGATGATCCTCATTTCCAGGTATTACTTTCCTTTCTTTGTGTTTCAAATAAATAGATTTAGAACAAAAAAGAGGCAAATTCTTTGATAGGGAATGTGCTTTTTTGCTGTTATATGCTGCCGTATTATTAATTTCCACTAATGTTTTTGAGGGAAATACGATGCTTATGATCTCTATTAGCCTTGATGATATAATCAACTAATTCATTGATTCAGGGTAGAGGAAACAAGAGCAGTGGAGATAATTTCCATGCTGCTCCAAACATTGATCACTCGCAAGACTTTGTTAGGAAGGATATCAAGGAATGGCTATGCTGGATGATGTTAGTTCCCTTTTATTTCTTTGAATATCTGCTGATTGGTTTGGTGTCTGATTTCATTCGCTATTTCGATTTCACCTGCAGGGAAGAAGTTGGGTATGATGGATGGAGGCTTGATTTTGTAAGAGGGTTCTGGGGAGGTTATGTGAAAGACTATATGGATGCTAGCAAACCGTACTTTGCGGTTGGTGAATATTGGGATTCCCTAAGTTACACGTATGGAGAAATGGACTACAATCAAGACGCACATCGTCAAAGGATTGTTGACTGGATCAATGCAACCAGTGGAGCTGCTGGTGCATTTGATGTCACTACCAAAGGAATTCTTCATACGGTACCTAACAATATTGCATCTTGTAGCGTTTGATTCAACATTGCGTATTGGAGTATAATATCTGGTAGCTTTGTGTGTGTAGGCGCTTCAAAAATGTGAATATTGGAGACTCTCAGACCCAAAAGGGAAGCCTCCAGGTGTAGTTGGATGGTGGCCTTCTCGTGCTGTAACATTCATCGAGAATCATGACACTGGCTCTACTCAGGTTTTCTTTCTCAGCATCTTAATTGCCTCAAGTTTCTGTTCCCTTTAAATAAACCGTCTTAACTATTTTTTCCACTTTTTTTAAAGGGTCATTGGAGATTTCCGGAGGGGAAGGAAATGCAAGGATATGCTTACATCCTGACTCATCCAGGAACACCAGCGGTTTTCTTCGACCATATCTTCTCGGATTATCATCCCGAGATTGCTGCACTTCTTTCGCTCAGGAACAGACAGAAACTCCACTGTCGGAGTGAGGTAAAGTAGTATCAAGAACTTACAATCTTTATACAAAATTCGAAAGGTCTTAAAACCAGCCTCCTTTGTTTTCGTGTTTTTTTTTGTGAATTATAAAGGTGAATATAGACAAGAGTGAGAGAGATGTGTACGCGGCTATAATAGATGAAAAGGTTGCAATGAAGATCGGACCAGGGCATTACGAACCACCAAACGGATCTAAAAACTGGTCTGTAGCCGTTGAAGGCAGAGACTACAAGGTGTGGGAAACATCTTAAGAAGAA